TTGAGCTCGCCAAATACACAACTAGTGGTGATCCTGTGAAGATGCAGCCCATTTTAGCTCAATTCTAAAAGGATCAAATGAGCAGATATGAATCTTTCGGGAGATCTACTCTTGAAAAACAGAACATGAAAAGATTATTATAAAGAATCATAGGGAGGAGTCTGAAGGAAGATGATAAGCCAATGAAAATGGTTGTGAGTAGTATCGCAAAGATGTTTGTAGGTGAACTTGTGGAAACAGCTCGACTTGTTATGAAGGAAAGGAAAGAATCAGGACCTATCAGATCTTGTTGTCACATCAGAGAGTCTTATCGAAGACTTAAGCTCCAAGGAAAAGTCCCTAAAAGATCAGTTCCAAGGCTTTTCCCGCTAGTAGTCCGGGTTACAAAGAATATTGTCTATTAAGTTTTTATGCTTCCAAGTTCGTAGGAATCATTCTCAAATTGGAGAATAGAACATGTTTAATTGGTTTTTCTTTCACCAACTCGAGTTATAAAAAACCTCAGAGATATTCACTAAAAAATCACAAACGTGTTTGAAACCGATTTCCAGTAATGTACATGAGTAATTTCCAAAACTTATCTACATGAATATGACCAATGTAATGTAGCACACGGACAAATATAAGAAATGTCAAGAAAAGACATTAAAGGCCTGAGAAGTTCCAGCAACCTTAATGAAAACATCTTCAAGAGTTGTGTCTGCAAGTCCCCAAGCAAACACACTGAAACTGCTTTTCGCCTTCTCCACCGCCTGAAACATTTCCGAAATCCCAACTTCCACTTTTGGAAGATGTGTCCCTGCGATGTGATATATTTTTTTGGTGTTTGGAGAAACATCTTGAACCAACATCTCCACCTCTTGCTCATGTTCTGATGCTGTTGTTATCGTCAAAACATAAGTTCCGCCATACCTTGCCTTTAGCTCTTTTGGGTTCCCTATGCATTGTAACCTTCCATCTACAAAAATCCCCAATCGGTCGCAAAGAAACTCTGCTTCTTCCATTGAATGAGTAGTAAGGATGATTGCAATGTTCTGTTTTGCGCGTTTGATCTCTGTCCATAGGTTCATTCTTGAAGCTGGATCGAGGCCTGCGCTCGGCTCATCCGTATAAACCACCTTTAACAACAACAATTAGATTAAAAAAAAATGAATTTGTTAAACCTTGTAAACGTCAGCTCTCTAAATCACATGCAAATAAGTTTATCATGAGATCGATCGTTAAGAGACAATGGCGTCTACTAACCTTAGGACTCCCAATAAGTGAAATGGCTCCACTTAAGAAACTCCTCCGTTTAATAGGTTCACACTCTTAAGAGACTCTTCTACAGCCTAATATAGACGCATGATTTGACGTTTTGGTACTTGAGGAGTAATACAGAAGATAAATAATATATATCGACGACATAATTGGGTGAGATCAGAGCCTTTGAGATTTTTAAGTCTCCCATAAAAGAGTAAATGTTCTCTTCCGGTCAGCGTTTCCCAAAGCAAGCTTGTATACAACAGACATGCAATAAGAGAATGATGAACAGAATAAAATGTAGTATTCAAGAATTTGAATAATTACTCGTGCTAATGCTAGTGTATACTCTGTCCGTATCATTGCATATATCCAAACCTTGAACAAGCCCTGTCCCAGATGTTGGTTTCACAAGCCCAGTCATCTGGCCAAGAAAAATTACGGTACACCTTTTATATGCTAAACAGAGTTTTTCAAATGAATATGCAAAGGAGAATAGTCCATGTCCAATTGGGTATACCGACCATATTGATGAAAGAGGTCTTCCCGGCACCATTGGGCCCTAACATTTTTAGCGGGTTTCCATCGCCACCAGGATACACCTTCTTCAGGTTGTCACATACAATTGCATGGCTTGTGCTCGGCTCAAGCATCAGTTTCTTAACTTTTTCACTCTGATTGGAACAAAATTTTAATCAGAATATCTAGAGAACCAAAGAACATGGAATGTGATGTGTTGTGTTGTGAATTCTTCCACAATACCTCCTGAGTGACATCTACTAGTTTCTCCATTTCTTCGGAAACAGCATAGACCTGTTTTTGCAAGCTAGGCCTTTGTGGAGAATGGAGATTTCTTGAAACGGGTTTTCAAGAAAAACAAAGGGTCTTTTCCGGATGCTGATATCTTATCAATATAGTTTGCAGCAACAAACCACTCAATGATTATTATACAAAATACTTCATCCATTGAACTTTCATTCAAGTCTTTCCACTTAATCCCATCCCTCCCATTCAAATTTCCCCGAAAGGCATATCGAGAGAACTCATACAACCCACGGAATATATCTTGCAGCTCGTAGGGTTTGTTGACCATAATTCATGAACCCGGTTATCATAGGAAGCATATTGTAATTATCTATGAATAATTTTCTCTTTGTTTCTTTCTCTTGTTTAAAACAAGTATTGGATTCATTTTGAATTTAGAGTGAAAAGAGTTGGAAAGAAGTTGTTAATAATAGATTACCAAGGGAAATCGGTAAAAGAAATTTCCATCCAGCCCGGATAAAGCTCTAGGATAACAATCCAGCGGTCTATAAATATAAAGATTTATTACCTTTGTGTGGTTAGTTGCAAGAATAAAAAATTTCATCTTGATAACTTACCGGGAAATTATATATCTTCGATTAGAAACTGGAAGAGAAACGAGCCCAAGAGCTCAGATCCAAAGACGTATATGTAAGCAGCAACTACAATTTGGCCAGAAAATTAACAGAGAGTGTAACTTTTAGCACCAACATTTTCCCGAGCAACATTTGAAAACGTTTTGACTTCGGTACCTGATGCTGTCTCAACTCTTGAAAATGCTGAGGAAGCTAGAAAGGCAAGAGAGATTTGAAGATTTATGTAGAGAAAATAGCAAATGAACTGGAAGCTGTAGTCGTTAAGCCGGAAGAACTTCAGTCCTGCAAGGAACCAACTGCTATAATAACCTCAGAGAAAAAAAACTTGTTCTAAACGAATAGGAAAAATAGTTATGGCAACGATATAGTACCTATTACTGACCCAAATATCATCAAACATATAATGTATAACGTGGAAATGGCGAGAAAATAGACGTAGGAAATCATCCAATATGGACCATCTCCTAGGCCATGCATTTTCATTATGATTATCAGATGTTGCTGCTTCTCGTAGACCAATGAGGTCAAGATCACCTATAATTATGAACCACATGTCTTACACTTGATAGGCTTTTAAAATTTGGCAAATTGCTCCATGATTTTACTAATGATGAATATGTGTGGAACGAGTATTGTAAGAGCGTAAAGCAGTCTATTAAAAGCAAACTTACAGGCATCAGAACTCAGAAGAAGAATAACCCATGTGAAGAAAATGGGACCGATTAGAGACGCAATGTCTAAACGAAGTTTAGTTTCTGGTTTCGGCATTTCTTTGACAAACTCAAACAATATCTTTGTCCTCGGGCCGCGCAAATACTGAAGATAAGCATTTGACACCTACAGTTTTGCAGAGTCTGAGAATCTATTCAATCAAGAAACTGATCCTACATGGAAAGAGCATATTGCAATGCAAAGGATCACTTAATTTCTTACCAAATTGACTAAACCGGGAACTCGGACCAACTTAATAGGCCTACCATTTTTTCCATCCTTGTATGTTGCGTTATACCATATATTAACATTGAAGTTAGTCATATTTGTGTCCAAGAGATCGTATGCTAAGGCATTAAAAACACAAAACCTAACAGAACAGAAACATTCAGAAATCTCATGTGCATAGTAAGCATTATAGATAAATGACAGAGAATTCAAACAACCTGCAGCGAACTCATTTATCATCCCATCAGAATTTCCTCTCCGATAACCGCTGAAAATCTCATGATTTACCTCTCTAGAGCTATTTCTCCAAAGATTCAATCCTTGAACGCATCTCATCTCTGGTTTCGACAAAAAAAAAAAAATGAAGTTAGTTCACTAAAAGAGTAATTCTTGAGATGATCACTTTGCGTAAGGACAATATATTGAGGCAAGAAATGTTGAATATGTATTGTTTTAAACTTTATACCTTTGGTAATATTGAGAAGTGGTTGTCCGATTGAGAATGGAAATGTAGAGTTTGGAGGGCACCGAGGTTGGATACATTTCATAATGTAAACAAACAGAATCTCAAGAGACCAGAGAAGTTACCAACAACACACTATCCGCTAAACTGAACAAAAGGTCCGAGGAGTTCATTGTGAAAGACCTCCTGAGAAGATTTCGAGATAAAGCTGTAGAAAACACAAACATGAATTCCCGCGAAAACCGATGTAGAAGAAGAAATTTTCAAGAGAAGCAAAAACAAACTTGCTCCGAGGGATTTGATTATTCCCAGTGAAAAGTATAGTTATAGGGCAAGAATTTTTCCTCATGCACCGGTGAATTTGCATCGATAGCACGATTTTGAGGTCGAGGAATCAGTATCAAAGGTGGCCAATGCTGTGGATTTGGGATGGCACAAAAGACTCCTTGGTTTCTAGAAGAATGTTCTACACCGCAGAAGATTTCGCATTTGTCGTCTCCAATTTTGTGAGTTTTGTCAATGCATGTACATCCACATTGATTATCCACTGAGTTATTAACCTGTGAATCAACCAGAGCTTGAATAATCACGAGAACTATGCAGAGGTAGAAAGGGATCATGATGAGTCGAACACTACTCCATATGTTCCTACTCCATATGGATTCAGTGGTTATAGTACGGCACGAGAGAGAATTACTATAACCACATTGTTCGCAATTAACAAGTGTATCAAAATTGGAAAATAGAGTATCAAAATTGATGAGGCTACCACGGAAAATTTTCTNTTAATTTCGAAAAATAAGCAATGCAATTTACTTTAAAATGATCCATGGAGTTCTCGAAAGTCCAAAGCATTGTGCATGTGTATATAATTATGGATTTACGTGGGGAATTGAAAAGGCGAAACCTGATAAGTTAAGTTTTTTCGAAGTATTCCATTGGTTCAGGTCAAGACGCTCGCTGGACCATATTCCACCATTGATGAAGCTTGGGTAG